TTTAAGGAGGTGTTACTCCTCCATCACTCACCCTTTGTCCTGGCTTGTGACAGGCAGAGCCTGACCTCCCAAACGTTGGGCCCAGGATGGCGGGTTTAGTGTGGAACCACAAAGGGCTTTAATGGCAGCAGCTTGAATTGCACCTGGAAGCTAATTGGCAAACAATGCCGCTCTTGAAATAAAGTTGTTATATGTGTGTCTTGAAGTGAAGTGATAAAGATTCAGACTTGAGAAAGACGAATCACACTTAAAAAAAAAATCTAGTAATTCTGATTGTACTATTTCTGCATCGTGCAAGATTCGTCTTACATCTATTATTCTTTCTTTGACATCTTTTCAACATGATGATGATGTTTGTCCATTGTTTTTGAAGAGGACCTTGACATCTAGTGGGTAGTGGGCTGTCCACGGTGTGTCCGCAAATGGCTGGTAAGGCCAATACTGGCATGGAATGTTCTCTGTTCTTTCCTCTTTGCAGGCTGGATCCGACCACATCACGGGCTGCATCCGGCCCACGGGCCTTGAGTTTGACACCTCTGGACTCTAGAGCGAATGTGGGCAATCCCTTGTCCTCTCTCTTATCCAGAGAGACTTTGAAGAACCAGTTCTTTAGTCATTGTCTCTGCTCTCCATGGAAATATGTCTACTGGGATTCAATTTAGAAAAAGGGATTTGGAGGATGATGATGACCAGCAATTTCTACTGAATAAAAACAATGTGGTTATAAAATTTATTCATTATGAAACCCGAGCCTACTCAAAATTGTGGGGGGAAACCCTTCCAACTGCTTAATTAGCAGCTTCTCATGCAGAAATTTGCCAATATATACGTATATTGGCACAATAAATTAGGGTCTAGAGGGAAGTCCCTTCTATAGGGCAGCATATTCAATTTTCCCTTGTGTTGTGGCATCATTTTGATAGATGACAGACATTCTTCCCAAACAGCCACAGAGCAGGTTATATAATCTTGAAATGACTACTTTGATAAGCCAGCCACTCATCAATTGGTAAAATCCCTTTTTTTAGCCAAACAACTTCCATTTGTTTTATTGTGAGCACTTAAAATTTGAAAGCAGGCAGGGGAGAGAGTGAGAGAGAGTGGGGGAGGGAGGGACACACACACAAACACACACACACACACACACACACACAGACAGAAACAGACAAACACTAGTGGTATTTTCTGGTTCTTTGAAGGAAAATGCATGTCTATTAATTTTCTATTATTTCAAATGTATGTCTAGTTTAATGAAATAAGGACAAGGAGTGACGATAGCAATGTTCCAATATCACAGGGGCTGCCACAAAGAAGAGGGGGTCAACCTATTCCTCAAAGCACCTGAAGGCAGGACAAGAAGCAATGGGTGGAAACCAATCAAGAAGAGAAGCAATCTAGAACAAAGGAGAAATTTCCTAACATTGAGAACAATTAACCAGTGGAACAGCTTCTCTCCAGAAGTTGTGGATGCTTCAACACTGGGCGTTTTTAAGAAGAAATTGAACAAGTCTGTAATGGTTTAGAGCAGTGGTTCTTGTCCTGCCT